AACCCAGCCGTGGGCAAACTACGGCCCGCGGGCCGGATCCGGCCCGTGTGAAATTAATAAAACTATTGAAAAAAAAGACCGTACCCTTTTATGTAATGATGTTTACTTTGAATTTATATTATTTCACACAAACACTCCATCCATGCTTTTGTTCCGGCCCTCCGGTCCAGTTTAAGACCCCATTGTGGCCCTCGAGTCAAAAAGTTTGCCCACCCCTGGCCTAACCTCTCTTTACTTTGCTTTTTCTAAATGACTTTCCCCAAACCTCTAGGATTCCTTGGATATTCACCATTAAACATTCTTAGAACTGCATCTTAACCCTACCAGAACACAGCTGTTGGAATATATCCAAGAAAGGGAATGTTATGTAAAACATTTGAAGCAATTAGCCAACACAGAGAAACTGTGGTATGCCACTCTGACCAGAAAGATCAAATAAATCTCGGTAGCAAGTTTACCTATTTCCTGTGTGCATGAAGGGCAAACTTAAGCCAGCCCCAGGAACAAAGACTCAAGTATATTAATCAGGTATCTTGGAAGCAAATGCCCACTTATGACACACATGTTTCAGGGAATAGAAACCAGGGGTTATTTCTTCACATGAGGGAGGGAAAGGAGAAAGGAAAATAAAATAAAATATTTATAAACTGACAAACTTATTTTTAAATATGTTTATTGATTTCAGAGAGGAAGAGAGAGGGAGAGACAGAAACGTCAATGATGAGAGAGAATCATTTACCAGCTGCCTCCTGCATGCCCCACATTGGGGACTGAGCCCACAACCCGGGCATATGCCCTGAGCTGGAACTGAACCTGTGACCTCCTGGTCCATAGGTTGATGCTCAACCACTGAGCCACAGTGGCTGTGCTAGAAATGGAAAAACTCAAAAAAAGGGAAAAAAATAAAGGCAAGTTATGTCTATTCTACCTACCTTTCCTGTTCTTCACTCAGTACTCTGAAACTCAAGAAGACCTTTCCACAATTTCCAGCAGTATCAAGTACATCGAAAGTGGAGTCAGCTTTTCTGAAACTTTTGTATGGAATTATGCTGAATCTGAGTTTACCTTCTGCTCCAGCAACCATCCAGAAGCCTCTGTACAGGAGGTCCTGAATGCTATCTGTTGTGGCAGCACTGGTCTTAGCTAAATGTTCCGAAGGCAGCATATGCTCCCCTTCACTTCAACCTTAAAAGTTTATTCCTAAATGCAATCAATGTGGGCTATGGATGAAGAACTGTGTATTTAGCTACAAATCTTCCTTTTTGCTAAAGGAAAATACATAGCAGTAGTCAGAAAAGTAGGCCCTGGTAAAGGCAACTATGGCCAAACTTTCTAACACATTGAACAAAAACTAATGATACCAGAGGGCACACTTGTGTATTTCACATAACCTAGGAAAGTCTTTTACATGACTTTCTCAGAAGCTTTCAATTAAGAAGATGAACAATGCCCTGGCTGGTTTGGCTCAGAGTGTCGGCCTGCAGACTGAAGGGTCCTGGGTTCCATTCTGGTCAAGGGCACATGCCAGGGTTGCAGGCTTGATCCCCAGTGATGGGCATGCAGGAGGCAGCCAATCAATGATTCTCTCATCACTGACGTTTCTCTCTCTCTCCCTCTCCCTTCCTCTCTGAAATCAATAAAAAAATATTGATTTCCATCCTTTGCAGCTGGTCACACCTCCTTCAGGGTGGGGGTCCCCACTGTGGTGCCCAGCCAGCCTGGGTGAGGGGCTGATGGCTGTTTGCAGGCTGGTCAAGCCCCCTCCCAAGAGGGGACCCTCACGCCATGGAGGTTTAAAAAAGATGAACAAGTATTTTAAGAGTGCTTCATAGTATTTGTTTAAAAAAAGAAGAAAAATAATAAATCACTTTAGTAAAAATGTACCTAACAATTAATATTTATTCTATGCAAGTCTGAAAAGTTGCTGACAAATATTTGCTTTGGTCACCCTACAACAGAATTCTTTATGATCCTGGCATTAGTTCTACTAATCAGCATATTCAAAGTCAGGGACAGTATGAGTAAAATGCCTTAAATACCTCAGTTTAACTGTTTTATATTGTTTGAGTTGTTGCAAACTTTCACCTACTGCCTCACTAAAGAATCAACATTAAGGCATTTATTACTGCTGTCTCATTTATGTGAATGGCTTGAAAAGGAGCCCCAGAAAAATTAGTTGAGAATTCAGATAGCTGGAAAATCAAAATCTTTAACTTTATATCTGGGAATAGTGTGCAAAAAAAAGTAATCACCTACACTGAGAAATATTCAGACCTCTCTAAACCAGTTCCCAACACTGGCCAGAACTGGCTACCCTCTATCTCTAAAGAGATCTGTGATAAAGCTATACAGGTGCAAAACCCCAATATTAATCTACATAATACTGCCTGACGTGGCCTGAGAGTCCCTCTAATCCCTGATTCGATATTTAAAACACATTCATTATCTTGTCAACTGCATTCCACTGAGTTCCCTAAGCAGCCCTAGAAGTCCTCAGAACCCCAGGTAAGCAAGTTTACTCCATCCAGCAGGTAAACTCAAGTCAGCCTTACACTTGTTTTTCCTTTTAGAGTCAGCCTTACAGTTTTTTAATCTTAAAAAGTTTTGAACAACTGCACTCAACATGTTTCCCTCTCTGACACATTTCCCCGCTGAAAACATCTTCCTACCACTGCTAACATAATCACAATACAAAAGAGCAGAGATCACAACTCCAGACCCGCCAACTCCTAACTAAACTCTAGCCTCTCAATTTTTTCCTTCTTTAGATGAAAATTCCACCTTGCTGGACCGGTTAGCGACTGGCGTCTCCACAGCAGAGGTAAAAGCCTAGCCCAGTACCTGCTACCTGGTAAGCTCTAGATAAATGGTAGCTATTATCATCATCATGGCCATAATTTAATACTGAGGCATGACTACAGAAATGACAAAATCTTCCCTGTGAAAGAACACAACCAGAGCCTAACAGAGGGAAATAGGCATGATGTGTATTTGGTGCATAACAGCTGTCAGGTACTTCCCTAAACCCTTGGTTCATTTGTTTTCTAAGTTAACTTATTTAATTCTCATTATCTCCATCTTTACCGGAAAGGAAAGTCAGACACTCACCCAAGGTCTGGCAAACCTAAGAAGACTGAACCCAGAGCCTGTGCTCTTAAACACTGCTCCACACAAAACAAAGCCTTTCGCGGATATTAAACCTAAGACTTGAGTTTGAAGAGTCTTTGGGCCCCACCCTCTCCTGTTTAAACTTGAACACTATCCAAAGCCAATTCAACATTAAGGAGTAGAACAACTTCGTGTTTTTAAGAGCCTGAACTGATGAGTCAGACAACTAGGTATTAAGGCGACCTTAGCTTTGCTGACCTCAGTTTCCTCATCTGCAAAATGGGAATAAGAACAGCACCCACTTCACGAGCTGTTTCGAGTCTCGATGCCAGAATTCACGGAAAGCTCTGGGCTCATTAAGAGTTCATTGTAAGCAAGGGACACCGGGGAAGTGAAGGGGGCGGGGGCTTAGGAACCTGAGCAGAACGCGGAGCTTGTCCCGGGTGTGACCCGCGGACCCGAGCGAG